ACAATAACTCTCATATTTATAAGGAAATAGCGGATGCCTTAAAAGAGTTTGGACCTGCTCATGTTGAGGTGAAGAACAAAATAGAAAATTTGACGAGGAAATACAGGTAAGTTACATGCCATTATTTGCATACATTGCTTAGTCCTTAATCCACAGGTAATATATTTAATACAAATTATTTAAATTAATTATTGATGAAATGCATTCTTTGCAGACTTCTTATGTGTAACCGAGGATGTTACAGATTTCTATGCTGACCAGAGCAACACCTCAGCGACCGAAAATTCAGGTAGAGAGAACTCGGGTTCCCAACCAAAACGTCGTCGAGTCGACACAATCGTAGAAAAAATACTGGAAGTAGAGGAGAAAAAGCTGGAGGCGATGCAGACTGTTGCTGAAAACTCGGCGAATTTTCAAAAGAAAATTCTTGAGCTGTTTGAAAATCGGTAATAGTATTTTAATAAAACAAAATATATTTAGTTAAATGGTTAAAATTGTTTATTTATAAAGGGTTGTTTCGAAGAAGTGGTGTGAAAGAGCGCTCCTTATAGCTTCAGCCGGTATGTTCGAGTTTCCCGGCCAAACTTCATGCTGAGGTTTTTCTTGGACTTGAATGGTACCTGCATCTTGCTGCCATCTTTCAGAGACTTCGCAATTATGGGTGGAGCAGAAATTCTGAAGAATGCAGCAGAAGATAATTATCTTTGTAGTGTTTTTGATGTCGTTGTCTAGTCCCTTTCCTATCCTCCGATACCGAGCCTTGAGGTGGCCGAAAGCATTTTCCACTACACGTCTAACCTTTGACAAGTTGTAATTAAATGCCTTATGTTCTGGAGTAGACTCAACGAAAAACGGATAGGGTTTCATTACCGTTTTGGAAAATCGAAATGCAGAATTCAGTTTCATCCAGTTTTATTCTTAGGCTGGAGTTATAAAAAAATTTTCGAGTCATGAGCTCGGCCGGGACACCCTACATTTATGTATGTGAATCTGTAACTGTGAAAGTAAAGAACATATAAAATTCCATTGCATTTAGGCAACCTACTTCTTACCGGTAGTCGACCAAGGCGAATAGGACGGTGGAGTACCAACCCTTGTAGTTCCGGTAATCCACTGCATCCTCACATCTCGGTTGGACCTCGATGTGACAGCCATCTATGTGTCAGTCAGTCATGCACAATTTTATTATTTAAAAATGTATCACTTGCCCATTTCTCCGAAACACTGCGGAAATCCCATGTCCTCAAAGCCTTTCACTGTTTCCGTAATCTTCTCCTGGGTAAGAAATTCTGCTGGCAAATATTCACCAGCAAGTACAGCAGTCACCTCCCGACAAAATTCCATCAAAATACGGCACACGATGGCTTTGGACACACCGAAAAGATTCGCAATCGTGCGATAATCCGCAGAGGATCCCAAGCAATATAGTGATATCGCTATCCTTTTCTCCAGAGGGATTGCCAGTCGAAAATTAGACTCTTTCTTTCGGAGATTGGGCAGAATTCCAACCAGAATATTGAAAGCACTCCTTTCAATACGAAAGTTGTCTTTGAGAAACGCATCGGAGTTTTGCACAACATCTTTCTCCCAAAATGATCCATATCGCGGCTGCAGTTCTACAATAAATTGTAACTTGGCTGCAGACAAGCCCGCCGCTTCCATGCATTTTAAAACATCCTCTTCATTTTGCTCCACCCCAGCACTAACCATACAGTATACTTTCTGTATGGTTAGGGACTGCAGACAAAATAATGAGGTCTGTTTCTGTAAGATTCCTCGTGTTTTTATTCATTATTTATTTGATTAAAAAAAATTGTGTTGCTTTCATCAGCTGTTCTCAAGAATATAGAATATAGTATATAGTATTGTAACGAACCATGGCTCTAGCCATATCTCGTTACAAACAGTTTGGGAACAACAGTCAAACTGATATACGCAGAGACACCGAACCCTGGCTCTGGCCACGTCTCTCCTCACAAATAGCGGTGCGTCAGCAACTCCGGGAAATAAAATAGTCTTAAGCAACGCACAACGCTCTCTCGCTCGCATTAGGGCACGGGCAATTCGGCCCGCCTGCCCTTTGAATTAGTCTTGATCTTACAATCACTGCGCATCGTCTTGGAATCGAGCTATTCAATCCGACACCGTCTTGAACCGACCCCCGCGTCTTCAATAGGACCCCGTCTTGAATCCAGCTAACTATCCTTTCGACTCTGTATCGCTTATTTACTTCAGCACAATAAACTGTGAATATATATATTGAACAATCATCGCTTTTTTAATAATATCGCAATACAACGCTACTGAAGAAGCTCAGTAGCTCAACAATGTTCCTCAAGAATCAAAAATTAATCAAAAAATCTTTAATTTAATTTTGATACCTTTTTGTATGAAAAATCGTTTTCTTGAAAAAATAGCAATTTGTGTAAGTATATTTGTTGCTTTTTATTATTATTGTTTAATTTCGATGAATTCCTAAACATTAAATGCATTTATTAAGCAGAGAAGCGCGCGGGTCTGTTAGTTCTACATAAATCAAAAGCTCTCAAATTTCTATACTGACTGAGTACGGGTATAAAAGTAGAGTCGCGTCCACAGAAGCGATTCACACGTTCCTTCTCGTTATTTCTAGGCTAGCAATATGAATATAATTTAAATATTTTTTTTCTTTTCAGTAATGAAGTTGAACGACATCGATCAAAAATTTTGGAAATCAATTCGTTTATCGAAATTTTGACAGAAACAATGGCTTTGTTACCCAATGATATAAGAGAAGAACTAGCTGCCGAGGAATATGTTGTTTAAACGTTGTTATAGAGATGTCAGAACTGGTTTTAATATTTATGTTATCACTATCACCTTACTAAGCCCCTCATTATGCGTTGAAAATATAATATAGTTGTGGATAGAGTTTTAGAAGGAGGACTTCAACTATGAGTAGACGAAATAATGTCGATTGTAAGCACCAGCCAATTGGTAACCAGCTGTAGGACTGGGGAACGTCGGAAAGGAAAGAACCGAAGCTACATCGTACAAATTTTGGAGTGGGTTACGGCTATCAGGGCCGGTTTTTATGGCATGGCAAGCGTGTAAAGCATCCTGTGCTCGAATTTTAAGGTGTGCCCAGTTCCCGAAAAGGGTTTTTTTCTAGTAGTCTTCCAAAACCCAATCCATCCCCGGCCTTGTATTAGCCCCGGCCGTCAATTGACCAAAAGCAAGACCTGACGGCCACGCTTAGAGTATAGGAAGCTGCTATATGGCTATGATTGTTGCCCAAAACCTGGATACGTTGTAATGGCAACTAAAATTTTGTTAAAGACATTCACTATGAACGTTGCCTCAGATTTCGAGCTTTTGAAATGAGCCACAGAACAAGACTGTAACAACTGTCCGTATCAGCTGGACGCAGGATTGCTCTTTAATGCCAAGCCAGAGCGGGCAAAGCAACTATAAGCAGCGCAGAAATAACGTTTGACATTAGAGTGCCTTATCTTTAGTTCCAGCAGTGTAATGACCGTTCACATTGGGGCTGCGTCATGCTTCTTTGCGTCTTTCCGGAGACGGGCCCTAGTGGTGGCAAAAAGTTGCGTCGGTCTCTGATTCATGTGCGTCTATTCGATATATTTAGTTGCTTTTTTTCATTTAGCGCTTTTCTGCCTATCAGCGCAACTATCATCACTAATGAAAACAAAAAACAGCTGACCTAAGAAATTAATTGTGCACCCTAAAATATCT